GGCGCGGCCCCCCCCCCCCCCCCCCCCCCAGAGTGCTGGCTGGGGAGTGGGGGCACCAGGAGAAGCGTTGCTGGCACTTCTGGGTGTGCTGCTGGGACTTCCAGGTTGGTGCGATCAGCTGTGGGGGACCCTGACACACACCCCCGCCCCCGGTTGCTGCCTCTCCTAACTCAGGAGGTACCAGTTGCCCATGTCCTGGTTAGTTTTCACAGATGAAGTCTGAGAGAGATCTGAGTAAGAGAAGAGGCATTGGAAGACAGGACTGCATGGCCTTGCTCTCAGTTCATGTATGGAAGGTTATGCTTACAGCCATTCAAATTAGAAAGTTATATAAATGGAAACTTCACTGCTGATTAAATTAGTACCCGAATTCAGAAATGTTGCCAATCCTATCTGTTTAGGGTCATAGAAAAAGACTTGGGTGAAAACATAAAAAGAAGAAATGGAACAAATTACTCCAAGAACAAGCTCCCTCAAGCTTGAAATGCATCAAAACGGCTTCGAAACAAAACTCGGTGAAATTTCACACAGCCCTAATAGCCAGCTGGTCTCATGGCTGCCTGCTCTTCTACAGCTAGCCTATTCAATGCAATCATTTATTAACTGGCTGTAGATATGTCCCTTCTCCTACTGCAGCTCCATGTCTAGTAGGTAGGGAGTCCTGGCTGCCTGCCCCCTTGCAGCTGGCCGCTATTCAGTTGCCCTAGGTAGAGGGTAGCTTTCCTTTTCCTTAAAGTGACAGGAGCCCCAGGCTCTCTGTCACATACTTCATCGCACCTTCATCAATGATCTAGAAGATAGGATGGAGTGTACCTCAGCAAATTTGTGGATGACACCAAACTGGGGGGAATAGTAGATATGCTGGATGGTAGAGCTAGGATTCAGAGAGACATCAACACATTGTGGGAATTCAACCAAAAGAAATCTCATGAGGTCTGTCGCAGGGCACTAAGGTGCCCTGCTCCTTGAAGAGCAGAAACTGCCTGGGGAGAGAGCCCAAAGAGAGACAGAAGCCCAGGTGCAGGTTACCAGGGCAACAAGCCAGAGGGCAAATTAGCCTGCACCTGCACATGATCAGCTGACCAGAAGGGGCAGGGCCCTGGGCCCATATAAATCCTAGGTTGGAGCTAGGGAGTGCAGTTCCCTGCTAGCAGCTAGAGGGGAAGGAGCCTGCAGAGAGGAAGTGCCCAGTGATGCAACAATGGCCTGATATGCTGCACCTAGGGCTAATGGGGCTCCGTGAGCTCCGCAGGTACCCTTGCCTCCTAGACAGTTAGTGTCGGGGATGAAGTTAGATGCTTTTAAAGGGGCAGAGCATACTCTGGTCTTGTGTATTATATTATAGCCCATGGGCTTATGTCTTGTTTGTTGTTTCATAACCACCAGTGGTTTGGGTGAGGCTACTTGTGGAAGGAGGAGGCCTCATTGGGGGCCCACTACAGCGTGGGAACCCCAGCACCAGAGAGGGCGCAGCATGTTGCGGGTGAGGCATGGAGACAGACAGGGCTGCAGAGAGCCCAGGTGCCAGTGAGGTGCAGAGACAGATAGGGCTGCAGAGAGCCCAGAGAGGGCAAGGGGGTCAAATCACATTAAGGCCTAGACTGGACAACGTTAATGCCATCTGCGAGGCTTGGGGCATGGTAAAGGGACGGTTGGAGCCACACACATAGCAATAGGCCTGGGGTGTCCCCGGGACATATATTTTGAAATTGGACTCACAAGGTGTCTGGGACTCATGGGTTCAGGGAAGTCCAACAGGACTGTGCTTAAGTAGGCTTAAAGGCATCCTCCCTACTCATTGCCATTATATCAAGACGTGGTGGGAGAGAATAGAGGGTGCCCAGCGGGCTGTATTGGCATGGTCGAGGGGCCCTAGGGGTAACACAGCCATCCTTGAGGACCCCATCTTGTGACAAGGTTCAGTCAGGACAAATGGAAAATCCTGCACTTAGGACAGAACAGTTCCATGCACTGGTACAGAGTGGAGACTGACTAGCTAAGCAGCATCTCTGCAGAAAAGGACCTGGGGGTTACCATGGACAATAAGCTGAATATAAGCCAACAGTGTACCCTTGTTGCACGTAAGGCTAAGGACATATTGGACTACATTATTCTTCTCTATTCAGCACTAGGGAGGCCACATCTGGAGTACTGTGTCCAGCATTGAGCCCCCCACTACATTAAAGATGTGAACAAATTAGAAAGAGTCCAGTGGACGGCAACAAAAATGGTTAGGGGCTGGGACACATTACTTCTGAGGAGAAGCTGAGGGAACTGGACTTAGTTGGTCTGTAGTAGTAAAAAATGAGTGAGATGTCCTCTCTTTCTCCTTCAGTTTGCAAAATGGAATTTTTTAAATAGATTTTTTCCACAGGAAACCTTAACAATGCTTTTTGGGTTTTTTTTCAACATGGACCTTTTTCTGATCTCTAGTATCCAGTGTCCACAACACTTCCCAGAGACGAGCCTATGAGCTCCATTTCATCAACCTGCTGGATACTAGAGATCAGGGACTAAACATAGACATTGGATTTTTGATACATTATAATCTGCCTGGCAACTGACTCCCCAGCCCAGCCCAGCCCCTGGCTTCTTTACTTTTCATTCCATCCAGGAAGAGCACACACCAACTGCTGCAGCTTCCTTAGCCTGATGAAGGGTTTTTGAACTCGAAAGCTTGCTTAATAACTATTCTCCAACTATTTGGGTTGGTCTAATAAAAGATATCAAATTCACCCAAGGTACCTTGCCTGCCTAGGTGAAAACAGAAATTATTTGAGGGCTATAGAAGCAACCACAGCAGGGAAAATCTACCAATAAATAACTAAAGCATATGAGATGATCAAGCACCTATCAATGGTGGAACAGATAGAATACAGTCGCATCAGCCACAGTTCAGGCAGGTATTGCAGCACTTAGAATAAGAGGCAAAATAGGGCCTAACCAGGGCAACTCCTTCCCATTGCCACAGGCCTAAAGCTTCATAGGACAAGTCTCCCACTGAGGACACCAGGACCCACTCAGCATGTCTTCTACCTGCAGCCATGCAGGCCTCAAAGAGGGAACTGTAGGCTGGAAAAAGCCAGGCAGCCTCTGAAACAGTAGGGCATGGCTATAGCAGGAACCAATGGATGTTGATGATACCATTAAACTTCTTTCTGCGGTTTTCACTTTGAACATCCACTCCCCTGTGCTAGTTGGAAGTTTGTATCAATTCCTCTCACCCATCCTGCTCAGGCTTCACTACATTGGACAAATCCAAAGATCCATCCAATTATAAACCTGTTGGACTAGCATGAGTTTTGTAGCCAATGGTACACAAGGGAACCAGGTAATTTAGCATTATATCCAGCTACCTTTGACTCCCAGTCTGAATGACCAAATACCCACTGACAGCTGGGTCAATCCAGGCTGGCCTTCAGCACCAGCCTAAACTGAGGTTTAAATTCATGCCTCTGAAGCCTTAGAGAGCTGCCTAAATTGCTCCACCAATATGCCGATACATATGCTAAAACTACCTTTAAATCCTAGTCTAGACAAGGCCAAAGGATTGGTGTGCTGGTGCATGCTGTTGGTTCTATATTTTAGGTTCAAAGTGACTGAGTAAACCACATCCTTATGTCCCAGCACTCTGTGGAACTGAAATAACATCAGAGAGATGAAAAAGTGTGTGAATAACCCAGACCTCCCACCGTGCTATGGTAATTCCTTTCAACATTCATTCTGCTATCCAAAATACTTGCACAAAATCACTCCCCCGAGTCACTTTACTATGCAACACAGAGGGCAATTAGTTTTAATGGTATTAAATATATCTCCTTATGATGCACATGTTACACCATGAAAGCAAATTCAGGCTGTTGGGGAGGGAAAAACCTTTAATATATGGACCACCTGCCTTGCGTATGTAATTTTCACCCAGTCACCCGCACTCTGTTTAGACTAGTCTAGCAGCCCGTCCTAAACTCCCTGCTACTCTTCAATGCATGTGTGGGAGGCTGAATGCAAAAGTCCCTAAGAGAGAAACTGGGGGAGGAAATTACTTCAATAAAGGCAGTTCGGGGAAGGTTGTACATATGCTTAGCACAGGAGGCACCTACTCCTCAAG